GGGAGGAGGGCCGCGCCTGGCAGGCGGTGCGGCCGGCGGCCGGCTCGGCGTCATCATCGGGCAGGCGCCAAACGCGAGTGCTGCGGCGGGCTTCCGCCCTTTGGAGGGCCTCGCGGAGCAGCGGCTCGCCCGGCTCGCTGGCCTGACGGTGGAGGCGTTGTGGGAGCGCTTCGACCGGCGCAACGTGCTCTCGGCCTTTCCTGGCCGCAAGCACAAGGACGACAAGCACGGCACGGCGGCCGGCTACGCGCTGCACGCGAGCACGGGCGATCGCTTCCCGATGGAGGAGGCACGCGCGGCGGCGGCGGCGATGGACTTGTCGGGCTACCGACTCGTGGTGCTGCTCGGGCTCCGCGTCGCGTCCGCCTTCCGGCTCCGCCAGCCGAAGCTGCTCGAGGAAAGCTGCTCGGCGGAGTCGCCGCTCGCGTGCCCCGTGCTGGTGCTCCCGCACACGTCGGGCGTCTCGCACTTCTGGAACGAGCCGCAGAATGTGAGATTGGCGGAGGACGCGTTCCGGCGAGCGATGGCGAGGCACATGTCGTGATGGTCTCAAGGACTTGTTAGAAAAGAATGTGTCGCTGCCGTGCGCGCAACCTTGGCGTTTTCTTTGTTCTGAATAAATAAATAAATACAACGGACATCCCAAGCTAGGGCTGGGTCGAGGACAGACACGTCCCCACCTTTGCAGGATTTTGCAAAAGCGAGGGGGGAGGGCGCATCGCCGCGCGGAGAGGGCTGGGCACAGGGCACAGGGGATCTCTCTCGCATAGGATATGCACTCGGCGGCACGAGGGCAAGGCTGGGCGTCCTATGTTTGTGCTCCCCCCCGGACCCCTCGCTCTCGGGCACTAACCATCTGACCACTCATCGACGGGGCTTGGCGAGCGGCCGCGCTGTTCTGAGTCCCTTGCCCAGTGTGGCGCGAGAATTCTTTGTTGGGGGGTGCAGCACGTGCGGGTGCAGCATACCGGTCCAGCACACCTCACATCGCAACCAACGGTTGCCCCAGTGTTCAAGATGCCAAGCACGCGAGCTCTCGTCGTCGGCTCCGGCATCGCCGGCCTGACCACCGCGCGCGCGCTCCAGCGGCGCGGCCTCGACGTCGTCGTCGCCGCCCGCGAGTGGTCCGCACGTACCACGTCGGCCGGCGCAGGCTTTTCCAGGCTTTTCCCGTGAGCTGCAATACGCTGCGCGCAATGAGCCGCTCCCTTGCCGCTCCTAGGAGGGTTGTGGATGCCGTTCCACGCCGAGCCGGCCGACGCGGTGGCGCGGTGGGCCTCGGTCACGCTCAGCTGCCTCCTCGAGGAGCAGCGCTCGAGCGCCGCCCTCGGCGCTTTCATCGAGTCCCTGCCCGCGACCGAGCTGTTCCGGGCAGAGGCACCGCCGCCGCCGCCGCCGTGGGCCTCCGACCCGCGCCTGGTCTTCGAGGCGTGCTCCGGTGATCCGGCGGCGGCGCTCGCGCGGCGCGGCGCCTCCACGCTCG